CATCGGAGGCACAGCAGATGTTTGAGCTTGAAATCCACCTCCAGGAGAAACGCCTCGAGTTGGAATCACTGGAGGAAGAAATACCCCTCAATCACTTACAAGACCCAGGGTCTCAAGCAGGAAAGCCAGTGCAACAACTGAGAAATGATATTACTGAACTGGTAAGCAATCAATATTTAATTCCAAAGTAAGCCAAAGAATTATGCATACATCATTAAATGTATAAGTATGTACATGTTGCAGGGCCAAGTTTACCTTGTAGATTTTCATGTTTAAGATGCCACTGTCACAGGAGGACTTGTGGTCTTTTTTCCATGGGAACTACTCCTGTAAAATACACTAAAAAAAGAACATTAAGAAGATAAACTTGGCCGTGCCACACTTATCATACCCTTATACTCAGACTCACAAGGAAACACAACCTGACACCAGATATTATGTGAATGTTGGCCACAGCCAAAGAACGTTTTTATTCATTTTTGCCGGATACCGAATTGTTTTCTTGGCATACCGGTCTCACATTGTCATAAAAATTAAGTGGGCGCACCTGGCCCCAAACATGTATACAAAATGGGCGCACCTGGCCCAATATACCAAATGGGCGCACCTGGCCCCATATACCAAATGGGCGCACCTGGCCCAATATACAAAATGGGCGCACCTGGCCCAATATACAAAATGGGCGCACCTGGCCAGAAACAAAGTGGGCGCACCTGCCCCCCTACAATAATACGAAATCATTAACATCATTATGTTAATTTTACAAGTAATTTCTGAGTGCAGAAGTGGTCCCACCGATGTTGTACATTCAGTCAGGAGCAGCATAGTCTTTTGAAACGTTCTAGCACTATGTCCTCTGCACTTAACATTTATGATCATTATTCAGAACAAATACCAATTTGTGTCTAGCTCCATGTCAGTTATTTTATTTTGAATTTTTAAAATGGGGGTTACTGGCTGTCTGCACCTCAAGAAAAATGCCTCCAAATATAGTAAATACCTGAACTTGACAAAACTTTATAATCACACCATTTGAAAAAGGTGGAGTAAAAGGGGGTGGCGGTGGGCGAAATTGTTGTGTTTAATCTCACAACAAAATGCACCCTCCGCCTCCTTTGGATGGCTGTGACAGAATGACAGCTACATGTACGTGAATTGTGTTTCCCGCTCGAGATAGCGTCATGACGCGTATTCATGATCTTTGATTGGTTTTAACTTTGTTCCATCCTGCATTTGCATACGCGCCACCCTAATTTGCATATCGATCCTGTCCACTATGACCTTGGTCATAAGTCACAGGTCACGAGTCACCTTCTCGCGTACATGCAATTGTTTACAATGTGTTCTGATCGGCTACTAGCGAAATGCTCTGCAATAAACAGGGTGCTTACGGTAGGTGTTCACTGAGTATAAGGCCTTTTATCGTTTATGCGATAAAAGGGGGTTATACTCAGACTCACAAGGAAACACAACCTGACACCAGATATTATGTGAATGTTGGCCACAGCCAAAGAACGTTTTTATTCATTTTTGCCGGATACCGAATTGTTTTCTTGGCATACCGGTCTCACATTGTCATAAAAATTAAGTGGGCGCACCTGGCCCCAAACATGTATACAAAATGGGCGCACCTGGCCCAATATACCAAATGGGCGCACCTGGCCCCATATACCAAATGGGCGCACCTGGCCCAATACACAAAATGGGCGCACCTGGCCCAATATACAAAATGGGCGCACCTGGCCAGAAACAAAGTGGGCGCACCTGCCCCCCTACAATAATACGAAATCATTAACATCATTATGTTAATTTTACAAGTAATTTCTGAGTGCAGAAGTGGTCCCACTGATGTTGTACATTCAGTCAGGAGCAGCATAGTCTTTTGAAACGTTCTAGCACTATGTCCTCTGCACTTAACATTTATGATCATTATTCAGAACAAATACCAATTTGTGTCTAGCTCCATGTCAGTTATTTTATTTTGAATTTTTAAAATGGGGGTTACTGGCTGTCTGCACCTCAAGAAAAATGCCTTACGCGCACAGCAGCGCGCGCCCACCAAGGAAAGGCAGACAGTAAGCCCTATGACCACACAAATAACACGTCAACACTAGAAATCAAAGTACTGTGCTGTCATAACACCAAATTAAAAAGTGGGAGACCTATAAAGGTTCCTACATATGTGCCAAAATGCAATGGTGGAGATTGGAGCTAAAAAATTGCGACCCAATAGACGACAAATGCACTCCATCATAGCGAAAGAAAGACAGCTCTGACCACACTATCTGAGGGTGATGCAAGCAATATGCGCGTGACAGGGAAGCACATTGAGATTTAGCCCAGCGATTAACAGTGCGGCGTTTTCTCTCAACTGCCGACTGAGAACGAGCACCAAAATAAAACACCCGAGGAAGGATGTCGGACCAGACAATGGACGTATCCGGAAACATGGCTCTACAATCACGCAGCAACACAGCAATTTTCTGCCTAAGACCATATTCGTCAATTGCCACCAGATCATTTGTGCCCAAGTGATTTATCAACATAGACGGTGGTGGCTGTTTGGCACATAAGCCCGCCAGCAGTGAACGCAGCTCGCCCACTCCTGCGCCCCCTCTGCCTGTCCACGTAACCGTAACGGGGAGGTGGAGCGAACGCTCTGCTCGGCGGACGATAGAGTCACCAACTATCCACACATGATCTGCAAAACAAACACGAAGGCAAGAAAATTGTCTGTTTTTTGTTTTGGAAAGAAACAACCGCAGTTGCTGCAAAATTGGGACGGATGACTTCATTAATTTGGCAGTGCCAAACGGCAAATGGGTGTTGGGCGGATGTACGAAAGGAAAGCATTGGACCGCCATCGACCCATGTCAGAAATGTCTGCATACGAAATTCCTAATTCAGCCGCGGATGACGCAGCCCCAATTCTGAAAGAAAGCGCTCGAATACCAAGATCAGCAAGCCCAGCAACATTGACTGCTTTGCGCAAGACTGTATTAAATTGATACTGCGTGAGAGGGGAACCATTGAAATGACAGAAAAATGGGCCATCGCCAACAGGGCGAATTGCTGCAAAATCCAACAGCGCACGAACCGGGCAAATGGATTGATCAGGACAGGAAACCAACCGGACAGCTTGGGGACGGCCACACTGATTATTTTTGGAATGCCGAAATACTATGACAACAGAAGGGGAATTTGTGTCGGAAGTGCACAATTGAATGTCACTCCCCAACAGAACAGACTTCTGAATATGGCACTGTGAGTAAACTGCGAATTCACCAACCCGCATAAAGGCAAAAAAGGCACTCAAGAAAACTGCCCTGAACATCACAGACTCGAATTGGGACGCGCATACTGCCGACAACACCCCAGTTAGCTTCCCTAAGAGTGGCAGAGAAATGGGGAGCCGACCATCCACTGTGGGATGCTCTCGGCAAGCTCCCTCAACGAGGTTCGAAACTACAAAATGCTTAGTTGGATCATTATACCCCTTAAGTTTATGAAAATAACTAACACCCGCAATATAGGTGGCAATTGTAGTTGCGGCCAATTGACGCAAGGACAACCAAGCTATAAAACTGCACACCTCGCCCACAGTTGCAGGCGACCCTCCTGACACCGGCTGTTGCCGAAACTGACAAAATGCTCGCCAACCAGCAGCATAAGTCTTGTGAGAATTTGGCGCAATAGATGTTGTCAAGAGGCGATCCATCTCTACTACTATGATACGTGAGGAAGAGCAGGCAGCGGGGTCATAACCGCGTCGGCAAAGGGATCCGCCCTGTAAAAACGATCCATCTGAAACCGGGACAATGCATCAGCAATCTCATTATACTGGCCTGGGACATGGACGGCCTTAATCAAAGTATTGGAACGCAGGCACTGCAAGACAAAAGGACGCACCAACTGCATGATTCGCGGACAAGGCGAGCTCAATTTATTAATGATGTGTACTACTGCAGGATTGTCAGTGTGAAAACAAACCTTGCGGCCAGCTAGTCGAGGAGCCCATGTCAACAAGGCAACTAGAATTGGGAAAAACTCCAGAAAAGCAATGGAGGGAGGATCGTGAGCAAACTCCTTCGGCCAATAACCCTGTACCCACTTTCCTTGAAAATATGCCCCAAAACCCACACTAGCGGCGGCATCGGTGTATAAATCAAGAGTCTCGTTAGATTGCCATGCACAGTCTGCCAACATTGAGATGCCATTGAAATGTGTCAGAAATTCTAACCACATAAGCATGTCAAGCCGAGCCCCTTTGGAAATGCGCACCTTGTGGTGTGGACGATGAAGCCCAGAAGTCAATGCAATAAGGCGACGCAAGAACGCTCTGCCTGATGGAATGGCTCTGCATAAAAAATTAAATGAGCCAACTAAGGACTGGATCTCGACAAGAGAAATCTTACGCTTGCCCAGCACAGCTCGAATCTGCTCTGAAATTGCCTGAGTTTTTTGAAGGGGGATTCGCACCTCTGCTGCTACTGTGTCAATTTCTAAACCCAAATATGTGATAACCTGAGCAGGCCCGAAAGTTTTTTCAACCGACAGGGGAACACCTAATCGCTCACAAACTGCTTGAAACGTGCGCAGGAGACGTGCGCAGTTATCGGCACTCGTACCCACAAAAAGGAAATCATCGAGATAATGGGTGACCCCTTCTGTCTGACCAAAACACCTAACTTTAAATTCCAAAAATGTACTAAACTGTTCAAAAAGAGCACAGGAAACACTACAACCCATTGGCAAGCATCGATCATAATAAAACATGCCTTCAAATGAAAAACCCAGTAGTTCGTAATCTACCGGGGAAATGGGAAGCAAACGAAAAGCAGATTTAATGTCCGACTTTGCAAGCCACGCCCCATGCAGTGGCCAGTTCTACAGCCTTGTCAAATGATGCATAGTGAACAGAGCATTTATCACTATCAATGAAATCATTCACTGACTGACTGGCTGGAAAGGAGAGGTGAGGAATTAAACGAAATGTGCCTGGCTCACGTTTTGGAACTAGACCAATTGGGGAGCACTGTAAATTAGGAAACGGGCGTTCAGAAAATGGCCCGGCAATCCTCCCCAAATTAATTTCATTGGCTAGCTTTTGGCGAACCACCTGGGGACGTTCGGCCGCAGAAGCGAGACACTGTGAATCGCGTGCTTCCCTAGGACCATTATAGTTAAGTGAGAAACCCTCAGTGAAACCACTTCGTAAAACCTGACTAACACTTGAAAGCGGATAATCACCTAACCAATTTATCAACACAGGCACATTAATGGGGGTTGGGGGCACGAAAATTGGCTGATTTTGCACCCTGATGCAGTACAGGAGCTCTTACTGACGCTGCAGCAGCACTTGGCTTGGCAGGTAGCGGGGATCGAGGCTCATGCCGAACCGATGCGCCAAAACCACTGGATGCAGTGGCCCCTCGCGCTTGCCCCCAAGCTCGACAACGCGTGGCGCCATGACCAGTGCGCGAGCATTTACTGCAAGCGTGTGCGTATTTGCATCCCTGAAAATAGCAACCTTGGGCTGAATTAAAAGCAAAACAATTCCCGAGCTTAAAAGAATTCCCTGTGCGGGGGGTCTGCGCTGCCGGCAGCCCACCACGTGAGTAAGAGGGGGAGTTCAGCCCGACCGCTGCAACGGTCAGCCACAGCTCGGAATCAATTTGACCCCAGGAACGAGCAGGGTCGGCTTCCTGTTTCAGCCTGAACTGCTCGTCGTACACCTTCCAGCCCTGGCCTGGAAATTGAATGTGTGCGGTACGAATAATTTCCGCGTAGCGCAGCAGCTCAGCAAACCTGTTTGTATGCTTTACAAGGTAAATGGCCATGAAAGTGTGAAATGCTGATTGCCACGCATCTAAACTCTCAATCTTCTTGCGAGTGGCCCCCGGTTTTCTCAGGACAAGAGAGCCCCCCTCCAACGCAAAAGTGAGATCTGTACCCTGGGTATCAGTGCGTGCCAAAACAGCACTTGCGGTGTCATTCCTTAACAAAGCCAAGTCAATAAAGGAACCCTGCCAATTTTTTTCCTTTAGTGCCTGCGAAACATGAAAACCCAATGGGGTATGTACACTGGCCTGGGCCATAGATAATGGGCGATGCATATTCAATATATCGAAATTAGGCCCGTTACAAGTAGGTTGCTGAGACCCATACTCACCCCCCGGTGACACCAATGGGACACTGCCCAAAGCTGGCCCCATGCTGGTCGTCGTACATGGCGAATCAGTAGCCGGAGCCATGGGAGCCGCAGGAGCGGCGGATGGGGCACCGTTGAATGCTGCCGAACTCCCCGGCGATGATACCAAGCCCGAATTGGCATGAGGCAACAGGCCTCCGGGAATGTCTGTCCCAGATCCAGCCAAGGAAGACATCGCCCCGCAACTGGCGGGCAAAACGGATGGGGACATCGCTCCGACATGTCCGAAGGACGGTACGGCTGCGTGAACGGGCTGGTATGCGGCGAGACATGCTGCCGGCGGTTGGAATGTCCGCGAAACCCTGGATGTCATGGAAGCCCCGGATGTGACTGGTGTGAACTCCGGCTGCGATAACCCTGTTTGGAATGTCAGCGAAGCCCCGGATGTCATTGAAGCCCCGGATGTCATTGAAGCCCCGGATGTCATTGAAGCCCCGGATGTGACTGGCGTGAACTCCGGCTGCCCGGCAATCGGTGCAGAAATCACCGGCGAAAAACTTGGAGCAGCACCGGATGTTGAGAGCCCGACTGATGTGATCAGCGGGTGTGCTGGCGCCGATTGCCCCGTGGTGGTGGACCCAAACCCCGGCTGGCATAGCGGAGCTGTGGCGATCGGGACCGCCCCGGGCACGGCAAAGGAGGCGGAGGGGGCAGTGCGAGCTGGAGCCCTCCGTGATCTTGACTTCTTCACGGGCGCAGATTTCTTTTTCTTCTTGGCACTGGCGGCTGGCTCAGGCACAGGCTCCACCAGAAACCGCGCAGGGCGGCGACGTTGGCGAGAAATATTCGCACGATACATCGCGAAACGACGAAATTGTTGTGTTTAATCTCACAACAAAATGCACCCTCCGCCTCCTTTGGATGGCTGTGACAGAATGACAGCTACATGTACGTGAATTGTGTTTCCCGCTCGAGATAGCGTCATGACGCGTATTCATGATCTTTGATTGGTTTTAACTTTGTTCCATCCTGCATTTGCATACGCGCCACCCTAATTTGCATATCGATCCTGTCCACTATGACCTTGGTCATAAGTCACAGGTCACGAGTCACCTTCTCGCGTACATGCAATTGTTTACAATGTGTTCTGATCGGCTACTAGCGAAATGCTCTGCAATAAACAGGGTGCTTACGGTAGGTGTTCACTGAGTATAAGGCCTTTTATCGTTTATGCGATAACAGGGGGTTAATACGTGGACACACTTTTACCATACATTCTGTACATGTTTACAATTAACAAGAAACTTTAGTTCAGTATTTTTTTGAACAAAAACAGGAGCAACAAGCTGCTAGGACTGAACTTACCTTTGGCAGTGGACCCATTGCAAGCAGCCTGGACAGTGTGCTTAAATCCCATAATGTCCACCGCAAGCTTACCATGGGAAGTCATTTGTTGGCAATCATGTCCACAAATGCTGCCAGGTAAACATTACAATTTGTTTTTTAATTTCATTCAAAACAAATCACTGCTCTAAGACTAAATGCATTCACCTCATAATCATAGACAAAAATCTAATCATCGTGGTGGATGAGGTATTGATATGATATCTCCTATTCCTTGCAGCTAAAGGTCATTGATGATCTCACTGCAAAACCTCGGTGTGTAATTGAGGAAACGTTAGATGACTTGCCGATTGCAGAACATGCACGTCTTCAACGAAGAGCAGCAGAGATCGGTGAATTGTTCAAAACCATCTTCCTGCAATTTGCCGATGTGCACCACGCGATCAATCATACAAATCAACTGGACCAAGTTGACATTCAGCGCACAGGTACATGTTAACATGTAACAGCTTTATGTAATTCACACAAAATGTAATTTTGCACAGTCGTATGCGCCGACTCTTGCGTCTTATTCCTCTCACAATTGATATTCTTTTTTCTCTTTTCAGATGTATGCATCAAGCAATTTCTGCATTCATACCGGGATTCATTTCCTTCTGCAAGCATCACCCCCAAGCTCCATCTCTTGGAAAACCATGCCATTCAGCAGTTGTCAAGATTCCGAGTAGGGCTAGGGCTCCTCAATGAGCAAGGAGGGGAGCTCCTGCATACAGACTTCAATCGGGCTGGTAGAGTTGTACATGGCATGAAAGATAACCTCGCCAGATTGATGACTGTGATGCGACGTCACCTGACGAGTACGTTCCCCGAGGTCCACTCAGAAATGTTGACCCATCAGACCCTCGGCAAGAATGAGGCATGAAAATAAAGAAGTATCATGTAAATACAAAGTATCATGTAAATACATACGTATATGTGACACCAACAAGTTTTTCACAAGAGGTGATTTGGAGTCCCCTAGAGATAGAGCCTACTTGTAGGGCTGTTTCAAATATTCGATCAAATGCAGTTTTGAATATTGAATACTAACTTATTCGCAAATGAACATCCCTACCCATATTTGCAGCATTGTCATTTTGTCTCTTGCCAATTCTTCTCATGCCAAAGAAATGTTGGAAAATAGAGTGTTGCTTTTTTTCCTTGAGCAAAGTGTTAAAAGGCTAACTTACACTGTATGCACTTGGCACTATGTATGCATTCGGCACTAGCATCCGTAGTCACAAGAAGAATACTTCTGCTGTAATGTTTTTGTTCAGAAATAAAAAATACATGTATATAAGGAATTCTAATGTGACACTGTGACACAAATAGTATTAAACCCAAACATGCCAGTTTAATAATAATGGCAATTTGAATGAAACAATGTCATACATGTGTTTTCAGTATTTAATGGTCCAAGCTGTATTTTTCTAAGCGCTGTTATGTATTTAAAGGTTTGCAAAATTACTGTTGGGAATCCTAGCCTTTGTAATTTTTGGCACTTTTTAGGAAAATATAATAATTACTTTAAATTGTTTATTCTGCTAATGCGAGTAGTGATTGAACACAACAAACAACTGGTCCGCCACTTCCTCCCATCACCCACTCATGCCATGCTAAGAAAATACCGTCTTTTTATCAATATATTCCATTTCTCATAACCCATATTAAAAATATAGCGAAACAAAGCAAACATGATTTTCCCAATCATTGCCAATATCTTTTTTTTTTCTGAGAAAAATGTTGCAACCTGACGCCACTTTTTATTCAAAATTCTTATCCATAGCTAGGTCAATGCTTAAATTTGAGAAGACATTTAATCTGGAGTTGGCGTCTGGATACTAAATTCTTTTCTTTTTGATATCAGGAGTAGTAATATAAATCATAAATGAGGATTGAGGAACATCAACTTAATATTAGCGATAACTAAAGCGTGCAGATCGCCCTAATTCCCAGTCCCCACCCACCTGTCTGTCCACGGTGACCATCCCACATGTACTGTAAATGATGTGTGCTCGATCACGTATACACGCTTTTGTATACGAGTCAACCGCGTACAGCGCACTGAAATGGGATTGTGCGTGTTGGGGCCTACATAATGCACGTGGGTATCGGTTAAAAATCGTATGGCCCAGACTTACCTGTTGGACTAAAATGAAGCCAAAGGTCTTCTCTTGTCTTCTAGATGCTAACTTTCCCCGTGAAAACTCCGACAACGAGAACACGAAGCACTGAAAATTGACATTTTTGAACTTGGCAGGGAAAGTACGGCCGTTACATCGAACATTGAGTGACTTTTTCAACGCTTATTTCGCAAGAAAACCGTGGCTGACTCGCCGGGAAACGGCGCTTACCTTCTGAATTGTAATATTCATGAGCTTACAAGAAAGGTCACATTTCCTCCAATGAAAATTATGATCAAACGGTACCATACCAACCCCTGGCCTCGAAAATGACCCGTACGCGATACGGACGAAGTAATTTGCATATCAAATCAGCTAACTAATATCGAACAACTGAGGGCGCACTTCCTTGCGCTCGAAACAGCCGTGTAAAGTCACCACGACATACTTTATCCAATAGCCATCAAGTTGCTTGAGAACGCATCTGTTATCCATCCACTATCGTTAACATAAAACTAAAGTACTGCGGCTACTAGGCTATTTGAAAATGTTCTTGGAGTTCATCAGTACTGTGGCGGGGATCTCCCCGGGCCAAACCAAAGTTCGTTGGGACCAAGTCTGACACCTATTAAAGTGAAGCTGATCTTCCCGAACCCGAGCTTTCCCAAGACGAGAGACCACTCAGAGCGACCACAAGGCTTAGGGAGCAGGTCCGTTTTGGAGGAAATATACCGCCGATTATGATGATTGTGATTACTTTCTGTTAATTGCACAATAAACCAACAACAAAAACGCCTGTACAACAGGAATGTCGGCACCACAAATATGATTGTAATTTATTAAACAATAATCAAGAAATGTGAAGTAGTGATTGAGTCTTAATGAGTTGTTAATTATCAGGGTCACTTAAATATACTTGCGAGTCAGCTAACAGCTCACCTAATCAGCAATTACCGCGCACAGCTTGAGCAATGCGCCCAATGTAAACAATGTAAACAATGCACGGCTAAGTCAACAACGTACACTAAGTAAACAATGTACACTACGTAAACAACGTACACTAAGTCAACAATGTACACTAAGTCAACAAAGTACACCTATGTAAACAGTGCACACTAAGTCAGCAACGGACACTAATGTAAGCAATGTACACTCATGTAAATATCACACACCAATGTAAGTAGTGTACGCCAATGTAAATAACACACGCCAATGTAAGTAATGCACGCCAATGTAAGTAATACACGCTGTCAGCCTTAACGTGATTTACGCTTTACCCATGCAAGCTAGCGTCAGCATCGTACAGTACATTCACCAGTACGGCTGCGCGTCAGCATCACACAGCGCAACTTCAGCAGTCAGGGCCAGCGCAATTTACACAGTGCACGTCAGCATTACCCAATGCACAGAGCGCGAGCAATAAACGACCTTACCGTCCGCTGTCCACGGCACAACTCCTCCGCGCGATCACGCGAATAGCCCTCACGTGAACATGCATACGCCGCACCAACACATATGCATGTACTAAACCTATTGATCTTAGGAAACCAATAGCGTACGTGCATTCAGCCAATGTGCTCTTACGCTCCGCCCAGTCACCAACACACACTGAATTAACGTTAGTGCAATAGGAATGACGTAGTAAATAAACTGACTATACGTCCCTACATTTTCCGCTACAAAGGGCCGAGCATGGTGGTGTATGGCCTTATACTCCATAACCATATTAAAAATAATTAATTTTGTCTATATAAAGAAATCATAAGGGGCAACTTTTTTCCGTATAATTCAATAGAAAACAGGGGGAGGGGGCTGATTTCAAAGCTCATTAAGTATTCACAAGAATTTGTACACAGTGTAAGATGTACAAGAACACCAAGATTTACCTCATTAAATATTCACAAATTTCACAGGGTATGATTATACAGAATATGAATCAAATGTTGCTTATTAAATATGCACAGGTATTTAACAGAAAATTTACTCTACATTTTACACAAAGTCATCGGCAGACATTTTAAGATAAACTTTAGACAAATTTTTGAGGCGGATTTTAACTAAATGTATATGTACATGCCTATACTTGCTGGAAAAGGGACCCTTTTAAAAAAAACACTTAGATCCCGGAAAATGGACAGACTTTTCTTTTTAAGAAGTCAGCACTTGGAATTTAAGGTTAATTTGAAAACTTATTTACACTGATTTACACTTATTTTTAACTGTCCAATTTACATTAATTTTTAAATGTCCAATTTACACTTATATCGTCATCGTTTTCACGAAGAGCCACACATGTCCAAAATTACAATTTTTTTGATTTTGATTTTTTTCAATATTTCGCATTAAAACAATGTACTTAACCATTTTGACATGTTTCTGTAAGCAAAACATCATTAATTTCTAAGTTACATTAATGTTGCTAGGGGCAGAAATATTGATAAATGCATTTTGCGTTTTCACGAACAGCCACATACATTTTAGCCCCTTGAACGCGTACAAAACCCATTGCACAGAAATACGTAAAAGTAGGTCAAATGAGATTTGCGTTTTCACGAAGAGCCACATATCTTTGTTACATTTCAGCTGCGCGCGCGTACTCACGCGCGCCTATGGAAATACACGATGAACAGAAAGGGCCAATATGTCGGAAACGTGAATTTGCGTTTTCACAAAGAGCAACATATCTTTACTAATTAATTTTCACTAATTAACTGCTGTATTAAGTCTTATTACCGGGTTTATGTAAAACTTCAGCTCACGTAGAATCGTGTGATGGTTTCCTTGCTGCACAAAATTGTTGCAAAGTAGGATTTCTTGCAGTTTTAAAATATGAGAAACTTCTTTTGCGATTATCTCGAAAACACTTTTCTTCAAAATCAACATAATATATATAGTATGTGGCTGTTCGTGAAAACGGTGACGATATTATACATGTATATTACAAAAGTTCACTTCACACTAATTACACGTTTACAAGAGTTTTACAGATTAGAAAATGGAATGATTTCAGTAAGTAATTTTACACTGAATAAAAAGAAATTAAGCCTATATATTTACTAGATTATTTACACTTTCGAAGTTTCCACAAATTTAAATATTTACCCAATTGTCAATTTCTATGAAGAATTAACTCGTGCATCAATTAAGTGTCTTTTTGCTTAACATTTGTTTTTTACATGATTTTAAATCTGATGTCCGACAAAAACTTTAAATAAAACATTTAACTCGTGAAAATGTTAGACTTGTGAACATGTTTAACTTTGATACTAAACTTTAAAATCTTTGAACGTAAGAACTATGTAAAAAAAATCCGGTGGGTCGGTTCTGCTCGTCCACCTCGATGGCCTTGACGTAGGATGTCCGATGATCATCCTTCTTGATCAACGCTCCGTCCAAGAACACCTCAACTCGGGTGAACTCCTTGTGGGCGAGGCGGTAGACCTGAATGTCTCCATGGACATCTCACTGCCTAAATTCTGGCCTTCCAAAGAGGGCATGGATGATGCTGGGCTATGGGGTGGGGACGCCTCCACCGTCTTCATCAGCTGGAACATAGCTCGGGGTTTACCTCGCTGTCCATAGGGGGGGGGGGGGGGAATTGGCAGGCCATGGAGACCGGACTTGACCCAGCAGGGGTGACAGGGGGTGGGCGAGAGGGACAAAACAGCCGTGTCTTGGGCCGTCTCATCAACTGATGGGGCAGTTGCAGGGGTCTCTGGTGGGGGGTTTGCTAGACTTACCTGTGTGTCTTTTGCTTTTGCTGTTTGAAATGATGCCGCGATTTGTGATGACTTCGTAAACGCCACTAATTATCAAGAACATGAAGCTTTAACACCAAGTTACAATTTAATCATAATTAATCGTCATCACTTGTCATGTTGGTAACACATTGTGTATCATCAAATCAAAACTTATGTTGTGTTGTGCTTGGAGGCTAAGTAACGACATATAAATGCACATATAAGCATGCAAACAAGTCCGACGCCTCATAAGTCCGACGCCTCATAAGTCCGACGCCTCATAAGTCCGACGCCTCATAAGTCCGACGCCTCATAAGTCCGACGCCTCATAAGTCCGACGCCTCATAAGTCCGACGCCTCATAAGTCCGACGCCTCATAAGTCCGACGCCTCATAAGTCCGACGCCTCATAAGTCCGACGCCTCATAAGTCCGACGCCTCATAAGTCCGACGCCTCATAAGTCCGACGCCTCATAAGTCCGACGCCTCATAAGTCCGACGCCTCATAAGTCCGACGCCTCATAAGTCCGACGCCTCATAAGTCCGACGCCTCATAAGTCCGACGCCTCATAAGTCCGACGCCTCATAAGTCCGACGCCTCATAAGTCCGACGCCTCATAAGTCCGACGCCTCATAAGTCCGACGCCTCATAAGTCCGACGCCTCATAAGTCCGACGCCTCATAAGTCCGACGCCTCATAAGTCCGACGCCTCATAAGTCCGACGCCTCATAAGTCCGACGCCTCATAAGTCCGACGCCTCATAAGTCCGACGCCTCATAAGTCCGACGCCTCATAAGTCCGACGCCTCATAAGTCCGACGCCTCATAAGTCCGACGCCTCATAAGTCCGACGCCTCATAAGTCCGACGCCTCATAAGTCCGACGCCTCATAAGTCCGACGCCTCATAAGTCCGACGCCTCATAAGTCCGACGCCTCATAAGTCCGACGCCTCATAAGTCCGACGCCTCATAAGTCCGACGCCTCATAAGTCCGACGCCTCATAAGTCCGACGCCTCATAAGTCCGACGCCTCATAAGTCCGACGCCTCATAAGTCCGACGCCTCATAAGTCCGACGCCTCATAAGTCCGACGCCTCATAAGTCCGACGCCTCATAAGTCCGACGCCTCATAAGTCCGACGCCTCATAAGTCCGACGCCTCATAAGTCCGACGCCTCATAAGTCCGACGCCTCATAAGTCCGACGCCTCATAAGTCCGACGCCTCATAAGTCCGACGCCTCATAAGTCCGACGCCTCATAAGTCCGACGCCTCAAAAACGAGGCGTTTAATTTTTCGGACGTACGAGGCGTCGGAGCTATGAGGCGTCGGAGCTATGAGGCGTCGGACTTATGAGGCGTCGGACCTATGAGGCTTCGGTTTTATGGGCCCTAATGTGCTTAGGGGATGCGATTTTGTCGGACGTATGAGGCGTCGGACCTATGAGGCGTCGGACTTATGAGCGGACCCTAAACAAGTGAATTCTGTGACCATAGGACGTATCAAAACGTAAATTAGTTTGTTGTAACCGTCTTTTTTCTTATTAGCAGCTGTGTCCATAGATTTTAAACCGAAACAATTTTAATGTGGGAGGAAAAAAGGCACAGACTGTCAAGGATTTTCAGTGCTTTGAGGCAATATTTGTGTGCAAAATCATATCAAAATTGGAGGATTCAGGATTGTTAGGGTTTGTAATGATCACTGTTTTGTTCTATACACTGGGATATTCCTCGTGAACCACTCTCATCGAGACACGAGGGGTTTAACGTATGTACATGTACATGTATGTAAAACACTTTTTTTTTTCTTGTCAGATGACAGAACAGTTTTAAATCAACACGAAAGAGACTTCGGAAGAAAGATGGGCGGGGCTTCAAAGGGAAAGTAAACTAAGTAAAAGAAAAGGGTAGAAAAACGCAAGAAAAAAAAAGGTACTTGTTACAGGAATGGAGGTTTTACAGTGTGATTTTCCCATTGTTTTCCGGAAGTTTTAATTGGGACCTAAAAAAAAGTCCTAAATTCTGTATGACCGTTTTTCCTTATCCTTGTATAACCAAGGCTCCGTATCTTCGTGTATGTTCTGACAGAAATGTGCTTTCATTGACTTTGATGAAACTTGGACCGGTCACCCTTGGGTCAGTGCAATTTCAAAACACAATTCTTCATTGGATTGCTGAGGAGTGATCCTTGGATGGGGGCCGTTCATCACAACTCTTCCGAAATTGTAGGTCAAGAGACATTTAGGGGTCATTTGAGGTGATGGTTTACAAATGCATAAAAAAATATTGACAAAATATATAACGTACACATGCTTTTATGGATTTAATGAAACTTGGTTGCAGTGACCCTTGGATGGGAAAACACAATTCTTCGCTACATACCTAAGGTCATAGGTCACGTAGGGGTCATAAGAGGTCATTGTTGAAATGTGCTTTAAATGATTCTTCTTTTTCTTTAAATGTCAATTGGATGGAGTAGTCCGTGGGTGGTGTTTCATCACAACCTTTCCGGAATTTGACGTCAAAGGTCATGTAGGGGTTAATTGAGGTCGTTTCAAATTGGAAAAGTAATCACTTTTTAAAAGCACAAAACAATACTACGCAGGGATCGACCTTGAAAAAAGGCGACACGTGGTCTGCAGATCACTTGTTTTCACAACCGTTATATGTGTCAACAAAAAGTTAGCTTTGGTAGAGAAACATTCTTCTTTATAGTACAAAGAGGATATCCCTCAATCCACCACTCACTCTTAAGTGAGAAGCTTAATACAAAAAACATTAAGATCATGATGCGTCGGTTTATTTCAGCTCGAATATACTGTTGTAGAAAGATCTGCATCTGGGACAGGCCTGGCAGAAGGTGAGAACAACAATGAAGACGAGAGCAACAAGGACAACGGGGATGAGGACAACAATGAAGACGAGTGTAGAGAGAACAGCGGCTGTGAGAACAACAATGAAGATAAAAGCAACAAGACCAACGGGGCTGAGAACAAGGAAAATAAGTGTAATGGAAGGGACGATGGAGTGTACATCTTTAGGGATGGTAATAGGGAAAAAAGGTGATGATGACGGGGGGAACGACGATGGGGGCAACTGTAGTAGAGATGACAGTGCTGACGACAGTGACGACTGTGCAGATGACATTGTACCAGACAGTGACGATGACAGCACTGCAGATAGTACAAATGATGATGTGGAAGACAACGCGGCGGACAGCTCAGACAATGAGAATGAAAATAATGACAATGTGGAAGACAGCCCGGCGGACAGCTCAGACAATGAGAATGAAAATAATGACAATATGGAAGACAGCGCGGCGGACAGCTCAGACAATGAGAATGAAAATAATGACAACGTGGAAGACAGCGCGGCGGACAGCTCCGACAATGAAAATGAAAATAATGACAATATGGAAGACAGTGCGGCGGACAGCTCAGACAATGAGAATGAAAATAACAATGAACGCCAAGATGATGGCATGGGATTGGCGGAAGACCCTGTTGTCGTTCCATTCTGGAGGAACAGCGAGCTTTCCGCAATGACTTTATCAATCGAGCAAACATCCTTGAGGGAATGGTTCAGCAACTTCAACCAGGTAACAATTTCAATTGAGTTCCAGCTGTACTTGGCAACGACGGTGATGCAGTGAGAAACTACGGTGATCGTTTTGAGGGTGCATTTCCACTAGCTGAACTTGTAAGGCTCCGGCAGCGTAGCTCATCTTTGGTCAATGTTGCTGTGCTTATTGCACATACACTGTTAAAAATATCCGTATTTTTACGGACAAAACAATACGGAATTCGTACGTAACATCCATTTAACGGGAAAAGTCAGTATTTGCACGGCTTTTACGGGAAAAGTCCGTATTTGCACGGCTTTCATGGGAAAAGTCCGTAGTTGTACGGGTTTGACGGGAAAAGACCGTATCTGTACGGGTTCTGACAGAGAGAGTCCGTATTTTTACGGGTTTACAGGGCAAGTCCGTAATTGTACGGATTTTTCAGGTAAAGTTCGTGTTTTTACGGGTTTTAGGGGAAAAGTCCGTACTTGTACTTCACTTCAAACAAATCCGTATCTTTATGGAGAAAATAATACGGAAGTCTCCCGTAAAAATACAAATTTACGGCAGCAGTCAAAACTCAATCACAATTTCCGTTTTAGTGCTGTTATTTCTGAAGTGCAATTTTTATAACTTTTTTATAACAATTTTTATAAATTTCCAACCTCTATGATCCCCCTCCCCGCCCCCTCCTCTGCCCCCTCCCCTCCCCTCCACTTAGCCCCGCCCCCTCCCAATGATCCCCCTTCCCCAAATATATCTCCCCCTCTAGCTCCCCAAATATATCTCTTCTCTCTCCGAGGTGTTATATTATACGTGGGAGGTATGGCGACAAACCCCATATCTCCCTCTGTCTAGGCACCAGACCAGGCTCTTACTATCTCTTTATTAAAGGGATAGAGAGGTTTTTATGATTAAAAACTTTATTTAAAAAAATAAATCATTTGTAATAAATGAACCTCGAGCTATGTGATAAAACAGATCAATGCGATCACCATATTATCATCGAGAATGTTTTTTTTTAAATTTTGAAACTTGCAGTGAAATAGTTTCACGTTACTTTGATTTTTCGACAGAAAATGCGCAAGAGGATCGTATCAATTGGTCAATTTTAAAAAGAAATAAAAGAAAAACTGTGGAGAAACTTATTTTTTGTGTGTGTCCAGAGCAAGACTCAGAAGATGTCCAAGAAACAATCAATAAATATAACGAGCTCGTTAATTACAAAACATTGAGGGGAAATGGATTTGTTAAACGGTCGTTAATAGCATCGTGTTTTTATAATGTAGTTGGATTAGACAAAGAACGAGTTAGAGATTTATTTAAAGTGACTCGCAATCAATTTAATAAAGCACTAAAAAGATACGATGACCACTACAATAAAGGCGGGGCCGAGGGTGACGCCCTAAGAGGCGAATAGAGGTATAACTCGGTGGATCACTTTCATAATGTTTATTTACCGAGAATTTGAACTTGTAAGTTTTTCGATAAGAGATTGTTTTTCTTTTGCCAGCTGTTCGTCTACCTGTTTTTTAACTTCTTTTTCAAAGTCTGTATCGTTTTAATTTTTTGAAGCTTTGTGCTGCTCTTTGTTCTAATTTTCTGCTTAAGCTCGTTAAATTTTGCGTGCTCTCTCGTAATCAATAAGAACTCTTCGTGCGATATATCTCCGTCGTTGATAGCTTGAGACACGTAATCTTCAATCGTGTTAAGTTTGGAGTCCGCTAATATATTTTTTTTCAGCTTGGCGGATAATCGCTTAGATGTGATACTAAGCAGAATATCTACACCAAAAGCGCCTATAAACGTTCCTTCTAGCACCAATCCAGCGGGGGCTGATATAACACCCAAGAGAGCGGGAATACTGACAGCCCCCGCTGTAGCCCCCAACCCTTCTTATCCTAGCTCTACGTAATTAATACTATCGATCATTCTCTTAATTTTTTTATAAGTGCGCTCTCGGTGGTCTCTCTCTTTCAAGAATAAAGATCGAATCGCTGCAATCTTTTTAAGTCTGTATACTTTTGTTTCTTCGTTACTATTTAATCGGAGTACATCTCCAGAAATATCGGGGTATAACGCCTTACCATCTACACTCATGTTTTTAATATAAAAAGATTTTAAAATTAAAAGATCTCCAACTCGATAATGATACCCTCACCCTTATTGTTGAATACCTGTCCTTTTTCACCGCTGATAGAAAATGTCAGTTTGTCGATTATACCGTTTTTAAGATTTGTGAATCCCTCGGCTCTATCAATGTCGGGTTCGCACATAGCCACGGGTACGATTTTTAAGATGTCAGAAGGACGACCATTAAAAAGTTTTCACTCGTACTTAATTGCGGGCAGCGAATAAACAAAAATGTAAACGGATTAACGTCGTAAGACCACTTTGGGTACCAGTCTTCCTTTGGGTAAATTGAGTAATCGAGATACTTCTTTGTTCAAGCGCAATTTGAGATTTACGTCGGTTATCACCAACGTCACCTTTTTAGATTCTCTCAATATTCGAAAACTTACCCCGGGTATAGAATTTAAAATGAAATCGAATCAATCGACGTCGTACCACCCCGGTGGTATGATGACCGAACCGATACTTCCGAGTGGTAAAGGCTCTAAATAACTCGGAGGAATAAAATCTAAACCATCACCCGTCACGATAAGACTTTCTCTTATAATCACCCCTGCATCTATACTATCTCTCAACTCGCTCAATTCGCTCGCACCTATTTCTCCTTCAATAAACTTTAAAGTCAATTCCTCACCTTCAAAGATTTTTTCTTTCTCTAACAAAGAATATTCTTACTAAAGATTGAAGCGTATTAAATTCTAATTTAGTTTTTGGTATTTCTGAAGACATGGCGGCTAAAATCAACCCTCGCCGTTCAGGTATAATAGCTCTTTTTCTTTTGTTTGATTCTAAAACGGATTCTAGTCTATTGTCTTCGTACGCTTTTATAAGATCGTTTATATTTTTTTGTAAAACATTTTCATCGTTAAATAAAAAGTGGTATGGTTTATCGGGTAACAATCGCTCTATAAAATCTCTATCCGGCGTTCTTATGTGTACATCTGAAAGAAACTCTGCGGGTATGAGGGGAGGTTTATCTGTGGTAAACGCAGGTCTCCCATCTATTTGCGTAAACCAGTCAATCTCCGTGGCGCTGGAAATATTAAAATATCCGGCGTTAAAATCACCCTTTTTACGCGTACAGATTTTTGACGGTTTAAATTATCTACGACGTCTTCTAATTTTAACGTCTGCTCATTATGAAACAAGTGAAACGAATGCATTTAATTTATAGTCTTTTTATATTAAAACTGAAACTAAAATAATGAGTGATTTTAAGTCGTTTAAAAAGCAGATACAATCGATAGCTGATCAGGTAACGAGACAAGTAAATCAAAATGTAGCTAAAGGCATGCTACCACCTCGGTGCATGTACTAGACAGTCCGTATCTCACTGGCAAACTCGAGATTACGGTCAACGCGTCTAAAACGTTTTTAACCCCGTTCCCCGACTTAATCTCAGACTATAAAATATCTCGCCTCAATACCAACGATGCTTTACTTCGTTGGAAAATAGACCCAATGTCTTTTTATCAAAATCAGTTAAACTTTGCAATCTATTGCGCTACAACGGACTGTGGTGTTGGAATCGATATTTTAAACGCGAACAACCGTTACGTTGAAGCCTTATTTAATTTTCATCTATACTTTACGGTTAGAAGGATATTAAACGACATGGCCATAGCAATACCGGGAGAAAACTCGTTTGACGCTCTCAGCAACACCTATGATCGTGAAACATTTACCAACATCTGTCGGACGTTGGCCATCGATCAAAATAAGTCTTTTAAACAGACGAGAGATCAAAAGACTTATGGCTTAGGTCGACTTTTTCTTTGGAACGAAAATACCAAAATCGTTTGTACTCTTCCCGTTTGACTATGATAAAAACACGACCTCAATCCCACGGGTGATAAAAATTGGGGTTTAGACGATCCAAAAAAACACGATGCTTTTTTTAAGCATTGGAAGGGCTATCTCGAACAAGACGACATCGTCAAAATGGCTTGGTTTGATTTAATACCCGCCAAAACGTCGTTTACCTCCGTGGGAATCATAAAGATCAACGAATCAATCAGATAGTACGTGTACGCTTAACTCGATGCGCAGGCTCAAACAAAAACGAGCGTATTATCGCTCAGAGACAATTTAACGTCATCGTTGAAGATATCATCAATGCAGTAGACGACATGGAAACGAGTATCGATCAATTTCAAGACTCTTTGCAGTATGCCAGAACACCTTTAAATTTTGTCGTGAAACCGGGGTTAATTCCATCGGATATGAACTTAAGGGTTGGAACGCACGACGGCTATAACAACAATCTTCAAATCGCTACCCAAAGTATGAAAACAGGTTTGGTGTTAGATTTAAACTCACAACCTCAACCAGACGACTCTTTTGATGACACCGATGACGTCGCGCCACCAACACCCCCACACTGCAAAAACTGCGGTGTTAAATTTGCAACACCAAAATTATTTAAATCTGTCAGTGGTGAAATTGGTGTTGAAATAACACCAACAGACTAAGTTTCAAGTGAGACGCGGTAATTGAATCCGAAAGGGTGTTAGATGTTGAACAACTGCGCATGTCTGAGCCCTCGACGCTCAGGGAAGCGCGCTTATTGGTTAGGCCAAGGTGAGACGCTATAATTATGGGATGCCACAATCTTTAGGCGCGAAAATTATGGGATACCACACATTCTTTTTGTGAGCGGCGGATGGGTCGCTCGCCTTTTTGTTTTTTTGTGTTAGGATTTTTGGCCTGAATAATGCCGATTGCCCGAGTGTGTGGGGTGGTCAGCCAAAAAGATTGTCCCATATACAGCAGGCGAGTCGGCTAATTTACTGACAATTGGTAAGTTTATTTTTAGTATTAAATGACACATTCGTGCCTGCACTTTGCGTGCAGTTTAGGTCTAACGTTACATCGTGTACATGTCATGCGCTTAGTGCAGGATAGGCTAGCCTAGGCTAGGCCAGGCATGACCCTAAGTTGGACGTCTTCATTGCATTAGGCCCTACGAATAAAACTTCTTGGCAGAAAAATAATTCTATAAGTTTGAAATAGTCTTGAAATGATTAGGCCTAGGCTACATGTACTTTTACAAACACATTTCCCCGTGCACGTTGACCGACATGACCTACCAGTCATGCCAGTGCCTGGCAATGATGAACCCGCTGCTTGCACTCGACTCACGGGGCCCGGCCCAGCAGCAGCAGGCCTAATCTATTAGATTAGGGGCCTCAATAGCCTGAATAGACCCTCACCATGATCGCCAGGAACAGCAAAATCTTAGACTTCGAGTGGAGTAGGGGAGTTGGAGAGCGCTAAGATTCAAGAAAAGGGGAAGGGGCCAATCCATTTGTCATGTTTGTAATATTATCACAAGGCTAGTCCCACTATCGTAACTGGGGCGCTAGAACTTAGGCCTAGCCCTAGGCCTATATAGGCCTATTCTCAATATTTCCATTTCCAAAGTTCACCCCAAAAGTTGCCAAAAATCACGCAAAATACTTGACAAATATACCTTTGAAAGCACCTAGGCCCTACTGGCTTCTCCATAATTGTCAAAGATGAAGTAGGCCTAGGCCTAATGGAGCTTTCGTGAAACGGTTATTTTTTGGGTTGCAAATCCAACCACTTAAATTCAACCACTATAGCACAGACATCATACAGCCATCATTCAATAACGTTTATGCCTGGCTAGGATTTGAAACGCGTTGTCTGTGGACATATAGACCTACATACAAACACGTACGACCATGATCTACGTCGGAAAAAAAACTCCGCGTGTAGATATAGATCAGGGATCCAATGCACCAATGTCAATGACTGTTTCATGACAAGGCGCAGTACAAGAGTATGCCTGCAAAAATGCAAAGCGTTAGTCCAGTGAATGCATGCTTTGTCATGAAACAGTCATTGGTGATCCTCGATCTACATGCTGAGTTTGTTTATCAATGCAGGTCACGGTCGTGTCCCCTGCTTCACGTACGTGTTTGTATGTACGTCCATAGACAATACGTTAGATCACAGCCATTGAACGATCGCTGTATGAACTATGATGTCTTTGCTATAGTGGTTGAATTTCATGGATTTGCAACCCAAAAAATAATCTTGAGTATCATTGATGCCCCATGACTTCGTCTTTGACATGTGGAAATGCCAGTAGGTGCTTTCAAAGGTATTGTTGTCAAGTATTTTAAACGATTTTTGGAGACTTTTGTGGTGAATTTGAAAATTGAAACAATATGAGAATACTTCTTTAGTGGGACGCTAGTACCGGTATGACAGACAAACATCCCAAATGTCGAGTTCTAGCGCCCCAGTTAGTGGGACTATAGGCCAAGGCCTATTAAATAGTTTTTCAATTGTGGCTCTCTGCTATGCATATTTTTTCGTTGGACTCTATAGTGGACTCTATAGCTACCTCCCTATACGTAGACCCTACTCGCAATGCAATGAAGACAATAAGGTGTTTCACGGTAATATGAGCCATCTTGTGCACGGGGCAAAAAGAACACACGTTGCATAGACACAAGCGCATTTTGGACTGACCGCATGCATGATGACTTGGAAGTGCCAAAGTTTTCCATTGACGATGTGTACACAGCAACGCAAAATTGCACCGCGGGCAAGATGGCACATATTACCGTAAAACGTATCGTCCAACCTGCATGAACTAAGACTGAGCAGCTCTTCTTACTTTGGGCCTTGGTGTGAATCCCGATGTGGGGACTGTGCCAAGTATCATAGTAGAAAAGAAGTAGAACTAGAAGGCCTACCATGCCTACCAATGCCTTTTATGTTGCACTCGAAACATGAAAATCTGATTTGGGCCTTAAGTGATTACATGACCCCATTTGCGATCTCAGATGGCTGTATATCCACCATCTTGACGTTACGTGAGCTTATACGCATGTAGGCCTAGATGCAAACATAAGCATGATATTGATAAGATCAAGAACGAAAATCAAAATTAGTAAATTGGGACTAGGCATGCAAGGGGGTTCCTTACGTTAATCATGCTAATCTAGGCCTAGGACTGGTTTGACGACGGCTTCATTGCAATTGCAGTGTCCATTCAGCATCCCTTTTAAAAAGAACTGTTCCCGTGTACGCCTTAATTGCCCTAGCCTTGTTTTAATGAAACGGCTTTTGTTTGCTCTGTCCTATATTTTTGTTGGCACGTGCATTGGCTGGACATGATTTGTGCCGGAAGTATGTGCATTGTGTGGGCTGTTAGGTACATATAGAACAATTCATCAGTGCCAACATGTGGATTAGAGGGTATGTTTATTTGTCACATTTATCATGAAACATTGCACTGAAGATGATCTAAAATAACTAAATTAGGTGACTAAATAAATGGTATTATTTTTACAGTGAAGAAGAAATTTGACATTGACAATGATGAAGAGATCCGTTTTGTCGATGTGAGGGATGGAGCGTCCATTGACAACGATGTCCTCGCCGATGTTTTAGAAGCGGATGGTGCCATTCAGTTAATGGTGTTGAAAGAGGGAGAGGAGTGGGGTGAGTTTAATCTTCTATTCAAAATTCTGCGTATTGTTTTATCATCGTTCTCATACTGAAAGGATGAAGGAGACCCTGTAAGTTGTATTTGAATCTGCCCTATTGTTTTTATTTTTCTAATGAATTATGTGTATGGCATTGAAATGTCCGGAAAGTGACTGTACACATCCCATCTCTGTACAAGGATCTGGTATTAAAGGTGGGCTTCGTGAGCCTGTCTGTGGTGCGAAATCTCAGCTCTAAGCTGATTTCCGCTTTTAGTGTTTTGGATTTCAGCTTAATTTTTTCCCTCTGTTGCTGTGTACAAACGAATAGATTTCCAAAGTTCATGTGTTTTTTACCCCCTTTTTCAGGTGTTTTCAGCTCTTTTTATCAGTGGTCACGCACACTCCTGTAACATCCTAATTAATTGAGGATGAGGAAAATGTGATCAACCCGCATACACAATCATCAGTGACTGCTTTGCCAGTCAGTTTTGTGCCTATATAATATCTTGAGAATCTTGAGAATCAACAGTCCCATATTAAATAAACATTCTTTATAGATCCTGGTCTTGGCCAAGCAGGTCGTCAGCCCGATCTATTCAGCAATTCATCTGAAAGCAGTCCCTCCTCTTCTGCAAAGAAGCAACGTCTTGATAAAGAAACAGATGCTAAGCAGGTATACAGCTGAATTTGAGTTGGTCACTTAGTCATACTAAGCGGTGATCATTAAGCTCACGCCCCACATGCCAAATCATCACCCCCTTACCAGTCCAGCCCCCCCCCCCCCCTCCGGTCCCCCACCCAGTCAACCCCCAACGGGAAATTGGACAATCGGAGAAAAGCGCGAGTGGGTTAAAAAAAAAAGGAGGGTTTAATGACGATTTGTGGCCAAATCGTGATTATTTTCTTTTTATTCGAACGTCCCAACCGCGTTTTGCACGCAAAACCTATTAATTTTCTGGCGCTAGTGACTATTCGATTTAGAGCAGATCAAGCCCCCCATTCAAAGATGGTGTACAGCCCTCCCCCCCCCCAATCAAAGGTGGTGTACAGCCCCCCCCCCCCTCCACCCCTCCTGGTTGATTTTACAGAGGCTGTTGTCATGTTCGGTGACTGGAAACGGTCTACCTTTCCTGCACGATCTGGAATTGGGTGCCCCTCTGCTGTAACATCTATGCAGCCACCACCCCTCTCAGGCTTAATTCCCTACTCGCCACCCTGGGATATACCACTGCTGGCAGCATATGTCTTAAATCCATACGCACACATATTTGGTTCTGGCAAAGACCTTTCAGACCGGTCAAAAGTTACTAAAACAAAATTTCTGCGAGTGTATTAATTCAAATTTAAATATGCTACGGCAGAAATATAGAGCTAACCTAAATGTATCATACAATTTCACGCATATTTCTATCGTCTGTTATCAGCTCATACTGGAAGTTCTGCAGTCAAAGCCAGGAGGGAAAGAAATACTTATGGAGTATGAGCGCCATAACTGCCTTCAAGATAAAACGCGGAGATTGTTGGTGAACATTGTGGTGGGCCACATGATGGACGTGCATGGGTAATTATTACTAGTTTCCAGTTGTGTTCCTTTTATAATTGACCATTCATGACTACAAATTTAAGTAGTGATTCGAGATTCTTACAAATAAGGTCTGCATGGTGTAAACACATTCAAATCAAATGATTCAGTGTAATGTGTTCTGAAGAAAAGAAGGCACTACATAATTGATGCTTGTTCCCATGTCTCCTGGCATTATTCTGTAGAATAAACTGTACTTGTATTCCTGATTGCTTTTCAACAGAAGACTACCGAAGGCACATGTCAAGAACAAGTATGCTGTTGGAATTGTAAACATGTTCCCAGCTCTGAGGGATCCCCATACTCCTGCGGGAAATGTAAGTATTGTAGAAGTAGAATCATTGGATTTTTTTCAGGTGCCTCTATGATTTTGCCATTTGGTGTCATATTGGCTGAAAAAAAAAACATTGATTGATTGTTGACCAATTTGATTTCATGAGCAGGCCTTTGTGCGTATTGTAAATCAATCCCTACACCTACAAACTTTTCTTATTTACAAAGCAAACTTAAAAAGTTCTTAAAATGCAATCAACATTTGAATTCATCACAAGCAATACACTATATATGCTGTGTGAGCACAGCATATTTTTTATAACTACATTGTCATGTATGATAGTTTTCTGAATGTAGATTCAAAAATAGATCTATTCTTGCCGGAAAAAACAAACAAATAAAATGACTCAGTTAAATCCACCTGTGAGACACTAAATATTAGAATTGCAGCCGGCTCATATATATTGTTCAAAATAAATATATCTGAATTTAAACAGTATGGTCGACTTTCGAACCATAAATTGTAGTGTATGAAAAAAAAATTGATTGTGTTTTCAATGCTAGTTTGCACAGGATGAACAATATACAAACGATTCCCTATGCAAGTTTCGTTGTCTACCATAAACTTGAAAATGGACTTTCCATGGTAACCTTTTGGAGGTGCAGGAATTGCCCGTATTGAACAGAAACTTTAAAACTTATTGTGTACTTGTTACTCAGTTTATTTAATTCATGATGTTTTATAATTTTAGGAAGCCTTCTATGAAGAAAGGAGCAACACTGGGTTTCTTGCTGCACGAATAAAGAATGTTAACAGGGCTGAACCAGTTCCTAAGGGGAAAGATCTACCACCTGAAAAGAAATCAACCAAGAGAGATGGAGGGCCGAAGCATCCAAGAGAGGATCATGGTGAACGCCGCCCAGAAAATGATCTTGAAGCAGAAGTCAACTGGCTGAAGCACGTTCCACGTGTAAATCAGAGTCGGGAGGACACCATGGAAAAGATGGCAGCAACATACCCTCTGAGACGTACCATGGTTCAAAAGGGTTTGTCAGCTACTGCGATCATCAAGGAATTTCCATGTTTCCAGAACACACCAGGCCTGGTGAGTTAGTTTGCTAGCATAGAAGTGATGTTTTCCGTAACTATAGTGGCAAACTATCAGTCAGTCTTCTAAGTGGTGGCTTCACTTCAAGCAGTTTCAAATTTACTAACTAAATAGTTTAACATAATTGCCATGGATATTTGAACCCTTTGCAGATTGATCAAGACTTCCATCTAATGTTTCCGGACAAGAACACAAAGTTCATCGAAACGTGGACAGAGGCACTTAAAAGCAAAGTCGTCAACCTTGCAAGGTCCATTCATGGTAACATTACTGCCAATCAGCTTATATCTACAGTTGAGCAAGGGCCAAGCACAGAATCAGAAATGCGAGGTAGGTGTTTTTCAAAATTTAATAAAATGAGGCTTTGCTTCGCCCACTATTTGCAGGGGAGGAGGCGTTGTCGCCCGTCGGTTGCCCCCATTTTGCGAGCGAGGGATGGCTTCGTGGTGCTTGTCGACAGATTTGCTGCCAATGTGCACCCGGCACTTTGTGGTCAAGCAACTCATGAACACACACATACTTATTCCTTTACTGGGGGACTACACAAGAGTTGTTCCATTATACTATGGGGACCGAAGACGCTGTGGGGATAGCAGAAATGTCCCCACAACTATAAAAAAAACTTCTCCATAACACATACATGTACAGTGTTGGCCAGCCCACACAGGTTTGTTTATGATGTACATTGAGGATTTCTATTGTTTCTCATCATTTATCTTTTGTCTATACTCTCAACAATTTCGCAACAGCTCCCATTGGTTTTCCTACACTTTTTTAATTGAGGTCATCCGTGATTTGACTCCTATCCTCAATTATTTGGTGATGCTTAATATCCTTGCACACCCACTCACATAAATTCTTCTTTATAGTATAGTGGTTCAAGTTAATACAATTTCTATTTGAGTGTCTGTACATAATTTGTTTCATTTCATTTGTTGTTATTTTTTTTTTGGGGGGGGGGGGGGCGGGGATCAGACTTTTAAAACACATTCAAAGAGGAATGGCCCGTCAAACGCAATGTCATTTAGTTTTTGAGATTCCCATTGTACGCAAACTTGATGTGGAAATTTCAATACCTCTCCTATGTCCAATTTAGCATGCATACAGACTCTATCAACTTAAAGCCTATTTTCAAAAAGGGCTCTCTCCACCGGTGAACCATTAATCATATTTTATCTTCATTTAAAAGGGTTCAAACTCGTAAAATTATTTGACAGCTTAGTTCATTTTTTTTTTAACTTGAGTGTGATTGTGTTTAAATGAATGATTCCTTTGTGGCACTAGCATTCGATCAAAACCTTTCAAAATTACACAGGCAGAAATCATAACCCAAACGTGCTCAATGCCGCATTTAAACAAGTCACCATCTGTAGCCATTGCTGCTTTGGGTATCATGCATAATTAACCATTTGCTATATATGTTAATTCGGTTATTCAGGTTGGTGTTCTGACACAGCAGCTATCCTGTTGCTGCGGTGCCTCCTGCCTCCAGTTAACCAGGGAAGGTCTGGGGCTCCAAAAATATCGCTGATCTCAGCAATGGACCACCTCATACAATTTGAGAAGGTAACTTGTCGATTTTAAACTTTGTTTGAAAAGTTGAGCAATTTAGAAATTAACTACAGCAGGATTTGAACCTGCAACCCCTCCAGAATGCCGCGGAACAATCTGGCAATGTTGTTCAACGTTTCAAAATTGATCACGTGACATAGTTTCCCTTTGTAGTCCAGTTGCCTCTTGTCTTAATTTGTTTATGTTCACACCAGGGCAGTGCGGGATGACCTGTGGTATAACATCAGGGGCGCATATATGTCAGCCACGTACACTACGCCTGTGCTTGGAAAGGTCCCGTTGCTAAAGAGCAGAAAATCAATTCAGATCGAAACTGTGTCCACTAGCTTCTAAAAGAAATTGAATTCTGTACTTTCAGAGGTCCGGGTATCCGGTAATATCAGCCACAATTCCGATGGTTTTCAGGAACAATCAAACAGCATGGCGTCAACATGAAAATGCATGAGAAATAATCCGCCTGCGATGAAAGGTCATGAGAATTGCGCCCTCCATTGAGCGTGTGTCAACTTTGGCAAATTGAGCGCACTGGCGGTTGTTGTGTGCCATGCAATTTCAGTAATCTGTTTGGAGCTCCCTGAGATTGCGCGGTAGCAAGTGAAGAGCGAGCACTTGCAAACATACCTCAAAAAGATTCCCAAGCAATTAAACCACCAGTGCATGCACTTGGCCAAAGTTGAAGCACACTCAATGGAGCGTGCGATATTCCATGACCTTTCACCTAAAGCAGAATATATTTCTTGTGCATTTTTATGTTGACGCCATGCTGTTTGATTGTTCAAGAAACCATTCCTGAATTCATATGTTCTGCAATATTACTACAATGTCTTTAATTGTGGCTTATTCATCTTATAAAGCTGGTTATTGTTGTGATATAACGCATGACTGGTACAAGTCTATTCATGTCTATCCTTGGTTACGTACGCAACGTACACAATTGTACTCGTGTGTTATGTGTGCAACCTCCCTGTAAAGCAATCAGACGATTGTCAATAAATCACTCCGTGTTTGAAGCCGATATATAATCTCTCCAGCCTTGTCAGTAATACCACATGGTGTCAGAAGTATTAAAGGACCCTTGGGACTTACCTGAACAGGTATTTCAGTAGATACAGTGACTACAAAACCAGCGAAAATAGGTGCAAAGTGGCTGACTATCTGTCGCTTATTCTGGAAAATTACACGCGTACATTCAGCGTGTGTATTACGTACTGTACAATACCGCATGCTACAGTGTAGGCCCTGTCGTACAAACATTACACTGTGTGTGAACTTGCTTTCTGCTACTGTGTGCACAAAATAGATAAACTATTCTTGCAGTGATGGATGTACTGCCGCCACCAAGCGCACTTGAACTTACCGGTAATGTGGCGGAAAACTGGAAAAGGTTCAAACAACGTTTTCAGTTATACATTGATGCAATTGGGGCATCGAAGAAGGACGACAGACAACAAACGTCGATCCTGCTACATGTTATCGGTGAGCAAGCCCTTGACGTTTACAATACATTCAAATGGGATGAAGAGGGCGACCAGGAAGGGGATAACATGCGCCTGGCAAAAGTAATGGCCAAACTAGAGAAATACTGCACCCCCAAGACCAACTTGACACTGGAGAGATTTCACTTCAATAACTGTTGCCAGCAACCTGGTGAAGGCATTGACGCGTACCTCACTAGACTAAAAAAGCACAGCAAAAAGTGTGAATTTGGCACACTACAGGATTCGCTGGTCAAAGATAGACTGGTATGTGGCATCGTCGCTAATGTAACCAGAGAACGCCTGCTTCGAGAGGAAGACTTAACTCTTGAAAAAGCAGTCAAAATCTGCAAGGCTGCTGAACTTGTGAAAGAGCGTTCAAAGGAGCTACAATCAACAACTCCAACAGTCCATGCCGTGCAGAAAAATCCATCTGCAAAACCAAAACCGCAGGGAGCTAATAGAAAACCTCAGGCAACAGCTAAGCCACAGAATGCACCTAAAGGACAGCCCAGTCGCTGGAAGCCCAGAAATGATCAACAGCAACAAACTAGTGACAAACATCACTGTAGACGCTGCGACAACTGGCATGTCTCGGGAAAATGCTCAGCGCACGGTGAAACATGTGCATACTGTAGAGGCAAAAATCATTTTGCTAAGTGTTGCTTCAAGAAACGCGCACAGGGCCAAGTGCACACAGTAGACAATGACGAGTCCACTGACTTTTTTCTTGACACCATTACAGTAGATTCAGTCAAGACACAAGCAAATGACTGGATATTTCCCCTCGCTATGAATGGTACAATCATACCTGTCAAATTGGATACAGGGGCACAGGTGAACATTTTGACAGAGACAGACTTCAGTCGGCTGAAAAATAAGCCACAACTACACCCAGCCACAGAGACACTGAAAGCCTACAACCACAGCCAGATAATCGTCAAAGGCAAGTGTGTAGTGACTGTGGACCATGCAGCACGAAAACACAAAATGCTGTTCTTCGTCGTCCCAGGTGATAAACAAGCACTGTTGGGCAGACAAGCTTGCGAACAGTTAGGGCTTGTCAAAGTAGCCTGTGCTGTCACGAATCAGGAGCAACCCAAAGACCCCAACGACAACTACGCGAACCTGCTACACGAATACGGTGACATATTCGAAGGACTGGGTTGTTTGCCAGGGATGCACACAATCATCATTGATGAGACAGCACAGCCAGTTGTACATGCCTGCCGCAAAGTACCATTCGCACTCCATAATGGTCTAAAGAGAGAACTTGAACGTATGGAGAGTCTTGGCGTCATCACCAGAGTGGATGAGCCTACCGACTGGGTAAATTCCCTAGTCGTTGTCAAGAAAAAGAATGGAGACATTCGTGTGTGCATGGATCCGAGAGATCTCAATCGTGCCATTAAAAGAGAGCACTACAAAATGCCCACACGAGAAGAAGTCATGTCACAGTTCGCTGGTGCATCATACTACTCCAAACTCGATGCATCACAAGGATTTTGGCAGCTTCAACTAGACGACAAAAGCAGTCGCTTGTGTACATTCAACACGCCGTTCGGTAGGTTCAGATATACGAGACTACCGTTCGGCATATCATCAGCACCAGAGGTCTACCATAAAACTGTTCACCAAATCTTCGAGTCAATCGATGGTGTCAGTACCTTCGCTGACGACATCATCATCTATGGAGCAACCAAAGAGGCCCATGATCGCAGCCTACGACTGACACTTGAAACAGCACGTCAAGTGAACCTGAAGCTGAACAGAAGCAAATGTGAAATTGGCGTCACACAGCTCACATTCATTGGTGATCTGGTAACGACAGATGGTGTCAAACCAGACCCCAATAAGGTCGCGGCGATCAACAACATGCCCAAACCAGAAAACAAGCAAGAGCTTCAGCGCTTCTTGGGCATGGTAACATATTTGGCCAAGTGGATCGCGGGACTCTCGCAAAAATCAGCGCCGCTTCGAGCACTGCTGAAAGATGACAATGAATGGCAGTGGGGTCCAGAACAGGAGAGGGCATGGAGCGACCTGAAGGCTACAGTATCTACGGACCCAGTTCTTCAGTACTATGACTCAAATTGCCCAATACGCCTGTCATCCGATGCAAGTAAGGACGGTCTGGGAGCAGTGATCCTGCAACTTCATGACGACAAGTGGTCACCCGTGGCCTATGCATCGAGAGCCATGACAAGCGCAGAGACTCGCTATGCGCAGATAGAGAAGGAGCTTCTTGGGATAGTCTTCGCATGCGAGCGCTTTCATCAGTTTATCTACGGAGCTACGGTCGAGGCCGAAACGGACCATAAGCCTCTCATCAGTCTGTTTAAGAAGCCACTGAACGCTTGCCCACTCAGAGTGCAACGGTTGCTGCTCAGGGTACAGAGGTATGACTTGCACGTAGTCTACACCCCTGGGAAGCAACTGGTGGTCGCAGACGCCCTATCGCGCGCACCAGACCGAAATGCTGATCAAGGGGAAGCAGCACAAGTCCAAAGCCTTGATGATGTCGTCGAGGCATTTGTAGACATGATCATCGAGACAATGCCTGTATCTGACAACAGAATAAAGCAGATACGTGAAGCTACTCAAGCTGACGACCAGCTGACCAACCTGCAGCAGGTAATATTACAGGGTTGGCCAGAGGCGAGCCAACAATGTCCAAGTGACATTCGCCCCTTCTGGAATACTCGAGCTGAACTGACAGTGGCCGAGGATGTCATATTCAAGGGTACGAGAATCGTTATCCCTCGAGTCTTGCGCAAAGATGTATTGCTCAAGGTTCACGAGGGGCATATGGGAATAGAGAAATGCCGCCGTCGTGCCCGTGATGTTGTTTACTGGCCAGGCATGAACGCCGAAATCAGCGAGATGGTAAGCCAATGCGATGCTTGCCAGAAACATCAACCCAGTCAAACCGTGGAACCACTAAATCCACATGAGATACCAGTTCGAGCATGGCAACGAGTTGGCGCAGACATTGGTACCGTCAAAGGAAAGGAGTACTTAATTGTCTGTGACTACTACTCGGGATATCCAGAGGTGGTAACCCTAACCACCACTACAAGCAAAGCTGTAATCAATGCCATGAAATCAATGTTTGCTCGACATGGCGTGCCAGATGTGGTTATTTCAGACAACGGACCACAGTTTGGCAGCCGAGAATTCGCAGACTTCACTAAAGACTGGGGATTTGAACATCATACTTCAAGCCCACACTACCCAAGATCCAACGGCTTGGCAGAGAGTGCTGTCAAAACTGTAAAACAGATGATCAAGAAGTGCCAGGAAACAAAACAGGACTTTCACAAAGCTCTGTTAGCCTATCGCTCTACGCCACTCCAAAATGGGCTGTCCCCGAGTCAGATGCTAATGAACAGGCGTGTTAAGACAACCCTACCTGTTCATCCACAACGCTTGGAGCCAGAGGTGCAACAAGGTGTGGTCTCCGACAAGATCCTGAGACGAAACCAACAAAAACAGGTGCATGATAGAAATGCACATCCGCTGAAACCACTTCACGCACAGGACAGAGTGAGGGTGCAGGACCATCGCACAGGACTATGGACAGTGAGAGCAACTGTTCTCCGCAAACTGGCACCCCGATCCTACGAAATCAAGACTGACGTTGGCTGGATCTTACGTCGCAACAGAGGAGCCATACGAAATGACACAGTACCGGACCAGACATCGATTGATCCTGAACTGCTGGAGGAGGAACTGGCTCTACAACTAGCCACTGAACATCCGGTTGGGACTGAGGCACAAGAGCCAGCTAAACAGAATCATGCCACACTTGTTCGATCACCTCGGGAACAAACTTTGAGAAGATCCACCCGCACCATCAGGCGCCCAGAACGTCTGATAGAAACACTATAACTCTTTGAACATGAGCATTATCGTGCTAAACACTTTAGCTTTGATTCACATAACATACCTCAACCAGATCAGTTAAATTTTGGGTTTAAATCAACACTATAAGTTTAGTTTAAGGTTTAAGTCAACCTTGTAAGTTTAGTTTTCGAGAAAAAAGAAAAAGAAAAAAAACAAAAAAAAAAAATATGTTTAGATCAGCTGCATTAGTCGTCCTAAATTTCAGTCAGAAAAAAGTGCATGATCAGTCGGCCCTTCCCGGAAAAACAAGGAGGATAAAGGCATTAAGACAGTTGATATGTTTTATTTTTATTAAAGAATCAAAAGTTGTTGGAATGATTCAAGTTTAAGGCTTAAGAAAAAAAAAGTTTTAAGAAAAATACTTTCTTTAGGGGGAAGGTGTTGTGATATAACGCATGACTGGTACAAGTCTATTCATGTCTATCCTTGGTTACGTACGCAACGTACACAATTGTACTCGTGTGTTATGTGTGCAACCTCCCTGTAAAGCAATCAGACGATTGTCAATAAATCACTCCGTGTTTGAAGCCGATATATAATCTCTCCAGCCTTGTCAGTAATACCACAGTTATAATTACTATGCTTTTACATACAGATTGTATCGAGTATCGACGATATTTTGGAAAGAGCAAAGGACAAGCAGACGCAGCCGTACCTACTGGCCATGGGCTTATCGAGAAGTCAGGTAACAAGGTACTTTGTCATCATAGACCACCTAGCGCTGCCAAGTGGAGCCCATGAGCCTGTTGGCGCATTAGATGCGCTGTTTAAAGCACACTACGTGTTCGGATTGGAGTACAGCTCATATCTTCGCAACTTCTGGACCTTCATCCAGACGACCGTATATGGTATCGATGTTCATATTACTCATGAAGCACCTCGCGTCCGAGAAATAAGGTCCAAACTGATGCATTGAAAAGCATGATATGCTTCAAGTGTCAAGGTCACTTCTGTGACAGCTCTAGTTTATGCAAACATTTGCGACTTGGTCATGGACTATATGATGGCAACAAACTTGAACTGAAATGTGGACAGGATGATTGTCCCCGAACTTTCAATTCCTTTAGTGGATTCAAACGACATGTGTATAAACAACATGCTGCTTGTGTAGGTCGCCATGTAGACCAAGGTGACATTATTGGACTTCAGAACAACGGAATTGAGGATGACAGTGATACTTCATCTACTGCAGACGAGAACATTGAGGCTGCAGAAAATCCATACTTGTTAACCCCAGATGATCTTCAGAAACATGCAGCAGCATTTATTTGCAATGTTTCTGCCAGCTCTACCGTTACTCAGTGTTGTGTTAATAATGTTGTAAATGCTGCTAATGTCTTCGTAGGTGACATTATAAACAGTGCATCGGCTTCTGTTTCCACTGTATTAAGGGAGCATGGCATAGGAATGGACGTGTGTAATGAAATTCAGTCACATTTGGCAATCCTTGAGAAACCGTTCGATTCTTCGAATTCAGAATTTAAAGAATGCGGTACTTTAAAAGCCAAGGCATGGTAGAACCATGTGAAATCAAATTAGGCACTCGTTTTGATAGTCGCCTTAAAAAGTTACAAGGCAGTATGAGCAGGTTCAAGTGGATGATACATTCATCTATGTTCCTATACTTGAGACACTCAAACTAATCAGTAGGCATTCTGATGTTTGTCATTACATCACCCACGATCATATTAGTGTTGATGGAGTTATAAGAGATTTTTGTGATGCCAAACAGTTCCAAAATAGTCCATTGTTCCAACAGGATTGTAATGCACTACAGCTGCATTTCTTCTATGATGACTTTGAAACTGTAAACCCCTTAGGGTCTAAGACTAAAATCCATAAGCTTGGAGGCTTTTACTTTGTTGTGAAAAATTTACCCCCGAAGTTTAATTCCTGCCTGCACAATATCCATCTTGCTGCACTCTGCCATACAGAAGATATTAAAAAGTATGGTTATGATGAAATATTGAAGCACATAGTGGATGACATAAACTTGCTTTCATTGCATGGCATGGAGCTAGCAGATGGACTTTTGAAAAAAGGAACCATCACCCAGTTTAGTGCAGATAACCTTGGGGCCCACTCAATGTTTGGATTTGTAGAAAGTTTCATGACCAGCCATTATTGTCGTTTATGTCTTCTTAGTAATGAAGAAACTCAAAACTGTTTCAGGGAAAGTGAAGTCCAGATGCGGACCTTGGATTCATACAATGAGCACATTGAAGAGAATGCTCATAATCGTGCAGTAGCACATGTGTTTGGACTGAAGAGAAACTCTGTCCTGAATGACTGTATGCACTTCCATGTGTTGTCCAATTTTTCTATGGACATCATGCACGATCTGCTGGAAGGTGTGGTCCAGTATGAAATGAAATTGGTTCTGAAATACTTGATTGAGGAACGAACCCCATCATCGATGTCTTTGGATAGTTTGAATAAAAAAGTGGCGAGTTACAACTATGGGTTCGTTGACAGTAAAAACAAGCCATCAGAAATCAAATTGAACGCTGGCACAAACACTATAGGACAAAAAGCGATGCAGTCATGGTGTGCAATAAGATATCTTTCTTTTATCATTGGTTATTTGGAAGATGAAAATGACCGAGCTTATTTCCAGCTTCTGTTGAAGCTTTTGGATTGCATGGACATCATTTTTTCCCCTCAGATAACCCCAGGTCTGATATCATAACTGCGTGTTCTTATAGAGGATCATCATAATCACTTTGTTCAGTGTTTCCAAATCGGAGGTTGATTCCAAAACACCATTTTATGGTGCATTACCCAACATGTTTAGAACAGGTCGGGCCACTTATACATGTTTGGTGTATGCGTTATGAAGCTAAACATGATTATTTCTGCAAGGTTGCTGATACTGTGCGCAACTTTAAGAACATCTGTAAGACTGTAGCAAAAAGGCACCAAATCACTCAGATGTATCACATGAATACTGAAAAGCCACTCGAGGTATTTGAAGTTGGACCTGGGTCCTCAACTCGAGTTGCAAATTTAGTAATTGGTTGTGTTCAGCAGGTAACTGAAAGACTGCCTAATGCAGATCTCATGACAGAGGTGCATGATGTTAAATGGGTGAACATCTGTGGAAGTGTGTATCACCCCACCCAACTGGTGTGCTATGATATGGATGAGATGCCAATCTTTGGGCAAATTGATCACCTTTTGGCTTTTGAAGGCAAAGTTTATTTCGTGTTGAAAGTGTTTCAAACTTTGTACTTGAGTAATTTCTATCATGCTTATGCAGTTAAACAACGAAACCCTTGTCAATTTGTGATCACAACGCAGAGTGAGCTTGTTGACTTTCAACCAGTTGATTTACATTCAAGTGTTATGGTTAACGATAATGCACAATACGTTTCTCCAAGGCATGTGCTTTTCAAGTAACAAGTTAACAGGATTGCACGTAATTTCAGAGTGATTTGGGAACTATGTGTGTATAGTATTTCAATTAAAGTACAGAATTTGTCACTGCAACCGAGTTTACTTGTACTTACGCTCATGTAGAGCAATAAGCTACTTGACTCAGGATCTATGGTTGTAATATGTCATATGTTCAAAGTTACTCATTCAATGAATTTGAAAATTTCATGTTATAATGACTGAATGTTTACAGTATTACTGATTGTTGGATGTTATATGAAGCCAATGTCAGTGTTTGTGGAATTGATGATTTCACACAAGTGCATGAATGACAATTTCAATAACAACTAGAGCTGTATGTCTGTTTGCAAACAGAACACAGGGCTTTTTCGCATTTTACAAATATTTGTTTCGTTTGTCCTTTTGCAGTCACTTTTCAGAGTACTTCATGCAGTGAAAGGTTGTTCAAAACGCTTAGAATAATTCCTAAAGTATAATTTTATCAAATGATGTCACTTGCCCTGCAATGACGTCATCCTTAAGACCCTTCTCAATGCACATTTTGTCATTGTGATTTTGGTTTGAATCAAGTTTAATGTCAATCCGATGAAAGAAAGTGCAATTTGTGGAAGTAGAATAAAATTATAAATATCTAAAAATTATAAAAACCAAACGATGACGTCATCGTGACGTCACTTTAAACTTTGTATACTAGTACCATTATTTACCTACCCACTAAGTTTCATGACAGCCAGACCTTTCCTTATATGTATTTTGAAAAATCGCATTTTTATGACGTCATAATGATGTCAGATATTGTTTTCAAAATTTTGTGCAAATACCTTTTACCAAATACTTTTTTTTTTTACCTATAACACATCCCGGTCTAGCCACATACCAAGTTTCAACCCAATCAGACTTACAGTTCTGTAGATATAGGACTTCATAATATGCACGTAAATTTTCAAAAATCAATTAAAAAAAATAAGGTGATGACGTCATCATGACGTCATAGTCTAGGCATAATTTTTGTATGAGGGTCTTCCTTGGCTGTAACATTGATGACGATTCCAGAAGCAAGTTAAAGAAATGGTGGCTTGAAAACGTGTACAAAGTCAATGGGCTAACACGTGTACAACGTTAACGGGCTAAAAAAAATCCCATGCAGAGAAATTGCACCTTTAAATTTGTAATTTGCCTTTGAACTGAAACATTTTTATGAAATATTACTTGATATTCTGACCCTTAGGAATATGTTCAATTGAATGACAGCCCGAAAAAAAAACACGATTTCCCTTTCCTTCTCATAGTAATTCTCGGCTGAAGTTCAGAACTACTCAGTAAGATATCAGTGTTGTATAGGAAAAGACTTGTGGAAAATCCCACTGCAGAAAAACTGCACCTTTAAATACGTAACGTAGGGCTTTTCGGCATGATGATTTTTTATTATACGTCCCTGACTATGCGCATGCATGAACATAAAATCTGTCAAAGTTAGCTGAAAATCGGCTAAAACGGTCACTGTGATGTCGACAGGATTTGACCTCGGCAACACGTGCTCTGCAGGCTGACTGACATACGATGTACATGTATGTGCGTAACGTACGTGTATGTACATATAGGCGTTCTGTGCATGTTTTAGAGCAGAGGTATTGTCAACCTGATCAAAGTTTTAAGCGTGCGCAGGGCATGTTCGAGTTCGCTTATTGCCTCGAAGCCTTGAAATGTTTTAGACCTACCCTTAAATCGACAATTAAAGTAAAAACTAACATAAAAACTGCCATGGTTGATTTTTCAGGAATTTTCAAGTGAAAAAGGGTCTTTTTATTATAACTTCCGGTCTGATGACGTCATTCGCCTAAAACTTCGCACACACCTTTAGTGGGTCAAGGCCATCATATACACTAATATTTAGGCGATTCCAACAAACTTCGCCACAGACATCTATTCAAAATACATTTTTGCTAATTTTCAACCTGTCGCCAGAGGGCACTCGAACTCACACCGTTAAAAGCAAGTTCATATCTATTACCATTTTTAAATAAAAGGCCACTTCCGGTTTTGGCCTTTTTCGACCGGAAGCAAGGGTCACGTGATTTCACGCACACTGAATGAAATAAAGACCTTAACCTACTCTAACACTTGCCGGTAACAGAATGCTGCGGACGCGTACGGTTGATTTCTTATGCATTTTTAAATATTAAAAGTGTCACAATTTAATTGCCTATAAATAGACACCGGATGACGTAATCATGACGTCATCATTACACAATATTGTTTGAATTAGGGTCTTTGCTTGGACAAAGATTGGTGCAAATGAATTACTGGCAAAGAGTCAAAAATGCCCTTTGAAAATCGACAATTTTTTCTAAATTTCTGTGTACAAAGTCTATGGGAGAAATTAAATATTCAAAAATCTATAATAAATTAGTCGATGACGTCACCATGACGTCAATCTTCGGGACACATCTTTGCTATTGTGACTATGCTTATGCAAACTTAGAATGATGTATGACAAAGATTAATGCCAAAAGTGGAGGC